GCACAGACCCACTCTCCCACTCAGGGCTGGTCCAAGACCTTTTAGCACCTGAGGCAAGCCATAAAATGGTGTCCCCCAGACCAGGGAAGAAGGAAGGAGTGAAGATATACATCAGGAACAATGGTGAGGGTCAAAGCAACCTTACCTGATGGTAGAACTGGTAATCAAAGGCAGGTGCAGAGTCCAGGAAACCCCAGAGGGCAGCTTCTGTGATTTCCTCCATAGGAGGAAGACCAGCAGTCCCTCCTATTTGCCAAGAGGCCATTGTGGAGGCAGCAGATTGGGCCTCCAAGGAACCCTGGCACTGCAGCAGCAACAGAGGGCAATGCATTCCTCAGAGGTTGGATTTGCCGCTTCTGTGGATTCTGCTGATAGAGGCAGTTGCCTCACCTTGCTTTGTGAGTGGGCCAGCCCTGCTCCTACCTCCTGTGAGGCTGGATGCCTGAATAGGCCTTTCATTTCATGTGCACTGGACCCCTTATCTAGTGGAAAGGTTTAGGATTCCAGTTTAAATTTGCTTGTCAGGAATAATTCCAATAGGAATCAGTCTAATAAAAAAGGTGGAATGAATCTGTGTTTCTTAATATTTCATGTATGTTAATCTTGCTTGCATCCGCCAGGACCTTGACTCTACTGTTACAGCAGATGAATTTCAAGAGATGTCCAGAATACTGTTATGTTGGAAGAGTTTCAGTTAGAAAGTCTCAAGGATGCAAACAAGGTGCTTGGATTGGTCAGGATGACAGTTTGTGTTCTGGACCCATGGCCCTCTTGGCTGAGAAAAACTAACAGGGAAGGGACAGCTGGCTGGACGAGGGAAGTATTAATGCTTCCTTGTGAGAGGGAGAGGGCCATGTCTGCTTGATGAAGGCAGTAGCAACACCACTCATTAAGAAACTCTCCCTGGATTCAGAAAATCTAAGTAATTACCAACCAGTTGCCAATTTCCCCTTCTTGGGCAAGGTTCTTGAGCGAGTGGTCATGGGTCAGATCCAGGCGCTATTGGAGGAAATTGTTTTTCTAGATCCTTATCAGTCAGGATTTAGGCCCAGTTTTTGCACAGAAACCACTTTGGTCACCCTGCATGATGATCTCTGTCAAGAGGCAGGCAAGGGAAATGTGTCCCTGTTAATTCTCCCCAACCTCTCAGTGTATTTTGATACCATCAACCATGGTATCCTTCTGAAGCGACTGTCCAAGTTGGAGGTGGGTGGCACCACCTTGTGATGGTTTCAGTCCTACTTGGATGGTCCAGAGGGTGATTCTTGGTGAGTGCTCTTTGTTTCCATTTGGGGTTCCTCAGGGTTTGATTTTATCCCCTGTGTTGTTGAACATGTATCTACATGAAACCTCTGAGTGAGGTCAACTGGAGTTTTGGAGTATGTTGTCAGCATTATGCTGATGACACACAGCTCTATTCCTCCTTTGCATCTACAGGTGTGGCAGTGGCTGTGTAACGTACTGGACAAGAGCCAGTAAAGTGAAGCTTAATCCGGATAAGGCTCAGGCACTGTTAGTGGGTGGTTCTCTGGACTGGATAGATTGAAGGTTGCCCATTCTTGATGGGTTTGCACTCCCTCTGAAGGAATAGGTACACAGTTTGGGAGTACTCCTGGATCCATTGCTGTCACTTGAGGCTCAGGTGGCCTTGGTGGGGCAGAGTGCCTTCAATCACTTTGGCTGATGGCCCAGCTGTACCCCTGTCAGGACAGGGCTAACCTAATTTCTGTCATGTGCTTTGGCAACATCTAGGTTAGATTTCTGCAATGTGTTATACATAGGACTGCCTCTGAAGAAGGCTGCTACAAAATTTAGTGGTCAGGTTGCTCACCAGAGCAGTACAGTTTGAGCATATGATACCAATCCTAGCCCAACAGCACTGCGTGCAAGTTAGTTTCCGGGCCCAATTCAGAGTACTGGATTTGACCTATAAAGCCTTAACCAGCTCAGGATTGCAATATCTCAAGGACCACCTCTCCCTATATGCGCCGTCCCAGACCCTGCGTTCATCATCTGATGCTCTTGCTTGTCTGCCTCCACAATGAGAGGTCTGGAGGGCATCAAAACGAGAATGGGCCTTTTCTGTGGTGGCTTCCCACTTGTGGAAGGTTCTCCCAAGAGAGGCTCGCCTGACGCCGTCATTGCATATCTTTAGGCACCAGACAAAAACATTCCTCTTCTTCCAGGCCTAATTAAACAACCTATGGCCTTTTAAACGGGGGGGGGGGGGTATTGTTTTTGTATGTTACTGTGTTACATATTTTTGTGTTTTTATATTGTAAACTCCCCTGTAATCCTCAGATGAAGATACACATTTAATGATGATGATGATGATGATGATGATATGGGACTTTTTTCTTTTTCTGCAGCTTGATATATGGTCCAAGTCCAACTATCAAGTGTTTCAAAAGGCAAGTTTCTTTGTTTCTAAATGTTGTCTGCTTTATGTTATGTTATTTTATTTCATATTTGAATATGACCTTATATATATACCGTTTTCAAAATGTGCACATACTGTCTCTTAGTTGCATATGCATGCTGAAGTAAGTGAATGCTTGTTTAGTTAAATGTTCTGGCAACTGTTCTGGATTCCACCTTCCTCAACACACTTGGAGCTTCCCAGATGTGCTAGAATGCAAGGTGATCATTTTAAGAACAGGTTGAAGTAATTCTCTGCGCATGCAGAGAGCTCACAATTTGGTTTAAAAGAAAACACTAAATTTCATTCTGTCTTCTATAGTACGTCTGTGAAGTATTAGGATGTTAAAGTCTATAGATCCAGAATATGCAGGAAAATAGGGATTGTCAAAAGCACCATTTATTAAGGAAGGGTATGATAAAATATAGGAACTTGTCTCAATGGGTAATTAACACATTTAAAGTAGATTTTTAAAAAATGGATTTACAGTATTTTTAAATATTACATTTATGTCAAGATTAATTTTGGTTAATCTCCTAGCAGGTAGTCTTTTGGAATGTAGTCTCAATTGTTGGCTATATTATCATTTTTGCCTTGAACTTCGTTTGTAAACATAGACACATAGAATTGTAGAGTTGGAAGGCATCCCAAGGGTCATGCAGGAATGTACTATGTAACAACCAGGATTGGTTGGATGGTTCAGTTTTCATGTGAATTTTCATTTTAAGCTTCTGTAAATTTGGGGCATGAATTCTTGTTGCTGTTCTTATACTTCATATGTAAGTTGAGCTATTGATACACACTCTCCAATACACACACACACACACACACACACACACACACACAAATTACAAGACATTTGGTCCATTATAAGAGCTATTGAAACTGTAGTAATTGTATTGTAAATAGCCACTTGCTTGGCAGAGTCACAGTTGGTGACTAAAGATTACCATGTGTGTACAACATGTTAGGCCTCAGCAGGTGTTGCCAAGAAACAGGTTGTCAGCCCAAGGCAGGGCAGAGATCTCATCAGCACTGGGACAACAGTAAAGAAGACAAAGCTCAGGGCAAAGCAAAATACCTGGACTCCTGACAAGTTGCTTAGGCCTAGAAGCTGGTTTTGAGCCTGGGGCTTTATAGGTCCTTTTTGATCCTGTTTGACCTGTGCAGCTAATAATTTTCACTCTGTCTGGTTCTACATTCCATTGAGCTTTGTTTGACAGGCTTCCCTGGCACGTCAGAGTGCTGGTGACGAAGGTCCTGGTTTCAGGTGTGGGCAGGCACACACAGGCATCTACATGTATATGTTTAAACTTACTATTTTTCTTTGAAAATAAGAAAGATTATTATTTTAAGTGTCTGTCTTAAATGTGATTTAACACATCAGGGAGAGAAATGCTTAAATCATTCTCCTATAAACCTATAAAATGTTGGTTTCTATGCCTATTTCAAGTTCTAAGGGTTGATGAATGACCTAAGAATTACAAGACTTTTGGCGCATTAAAACAGCTATCGATGATGTGGTGTAAGTGACCACTTGCCTAATGGTGTCTGTGGTGTTGAGTAAAAATCACCTCCACAAGGAGACCAGGTCAAAGATGGCAGACACTAGCAGATTTTCCTCAACTGTTTTAATCCCCACCCCAAGGGGATGTATTGATATTCCAAGGTTAAGCTAAACTTGTTCTCATTTTATGGGATCCAAGCCTTAAGTTGAAGGAACTTAAAAAGTCCAATATACTTTGCTTAGTTTCCTGTCATATTTCTCTCCCCCCCCCCCCCCGGTACAGTGGCTTACAAACTGCTCTGAGGAACCTTGTGATATGTCAGAGAGTACTGATGGTTTCTCGGTAGGAAGATCAAGAAGATTACTGATCTCTCCCTGCAATATATGCCTGACAGTGTTATACACAGGCTAAGGAACCTAGTTTACATGGAATGACACTAAGGGGCATAATAGGACTTGTCTAGCATCCTATGCAGCATCCTAGAATGCCACATATGGAGACGTTCTTCAACAGATGTGGAAAATAGTTTCCTAAAAGTTGAAAGTTTTGAAAAGCCATTGCTCAAGTTTGTCAAACAAATACCAGCAAGAGACTCTTGAGTTTGGGCCTGGCCTGGAGGCATGCACTACAATTCCTTTATAGATATTTCTTGAAACTTTTGGTGCCAGGATTCTGTGTTCACCCAGAAGTAAATAATTTTGACCTGTGATGCCAGCTTCCTCCAGATCAAAGAATAGCTTCAGGGAGGTAGGTAGCAGCCCATTCCCTGACTAGCATTAAGAGGCAGAATAACACAGTAGTTAGTCTGTTACCCGGGAGACAAGTGAGAATTAACGGATTAAGCAAACCTTTCTCTCCCTTCTGAAAAATATATTCCTTGTGTCAGGTAGAGAGGAGTATAATGCAGAGCAACTTAGGACAAAATCATCCATGATAATCCTTCATCAATAATGCTTTAAACTAATTATAGCCCATGGAGTAGCTTTCATTCTTGCCATTAAATGGGTTTTTATGTTATAAATGGGTCCAGGCTGTAGGCTTGGCTCTCTTAATGCTTTAGAATTCCAACATTAGGTGTGTGTGTGTGTGTTTATGCGCACACACACTCATACTCGCATGCGTGCGCGCGCACACACACACACACACATTTATGAATGCTTTCTTTTTCAAATGCTTGATGCAGAGGAATTAAAAAGCCAGTAGTAAGATGTAACTTGCCTGAGGTTCATTGTACACAGCCCCATTCACAGACCACATAAACCAATGTGCTTAAGCTGAAGTCCTTCTAATCCCACAGTGGTCAATGGCATTGATGAATTGTAAAGATCTGGCTGTATTCAGCATTCTCATTCCGCTACTGCAAGAGCCCTTGCGCTAGCAGACGGCAGTGTTCAAAGGTTGCACAACAATGGAATCCAATGCAACAGTTGTGCTAATGGAACCTGGTTGCACAACAGCTGGTTGTTGTTATGCTCTCCGTTGCACATCAATATTTGGTAATTTCCTGTTTTTCCCCTTGTGCAACAACATTCCATAAGTGCAACAATACCCCAAAGTCACTTTACACACAACTTTTTGTCTTTCTAGCTCTGTTTTTTATTCATAGCCTAGTGCTAGAATTAGGTGGCCCACCTCCTGTCACTGCCATTATATTACTGCAAAAGCCTACTTAAACCTGTGGCCCTCCATGTTGTTGGACTACAACTCACATCAGCAGTCTGCGGGTGGGTTCCAGGCCTGTAGAATCCAAGGAGGCTATGGTCTCACACTCAGTATTGCCAAACAATGTTAGGATAAGTCAAGCATTCGAAGTCAAAGACCAGGCAGGATCAGGCATGAACAATCATTCTGAGTCCAAAATGTGGTCTAGAGGCAACATTAGAAAGTTCTGAGGTCAACAACAGAGAAGATCCAGCCTAGCAGTGTGAGTCAAGAATTCTACCTTTTAGGGTCAGGAAGCTAAGGACCTGTGATGTTCCAGCAACTGAAAAGCTCAACATGAAGACAAGGCCATTCCTAATTCCAGCTGAGAATGCTTTCCCATAAGGGGTTCTTTATTCCTGTCACATGCAAGTTTAGTCTTTCAGGTACACACTTTCATGTGGGCCTGCACATCTTTACTCTCAGATGTTGGCTGAACATCTCTCAAACTCTACTGGGAGCTCATCAGCCCACATTCACCCCAAAGTTTCTCAAGAGGGTCCACTGGAGGCAGCTTTTGAGGGGTTCCTCCCCAGACTCAGGATCTCCAGGGCTGGTGATGCAAGACCAGGGGTACCAACTTGAATAAAATATTGGGGGGGGGAGGCAGGTAAGCCCCACCCCACATAATCAATCGCATGATGTGGCACGCACACACCATATGAATGGCAATGCCCATCAACTTAGGGGGCGGTCCCCTCAAATATTTTATTGTAGGTGCAAAAGCCCCTTGGCCCCTAGGAGTTGGCTCCTATGTGGAGGACCCTGCTGCCCCAAGTGTATGGTCAGCCAGAGGTCTGGTTCATCCTTTGAGGAGTTGGTGTCCGGATTGGACTGGGCAGGGAAGCCGCATAAATATTTCCTTGACTGCAGGTGTGTGTCTATAGTTTCTACCCCTCTGTGTGCTATCCTTCTTAAGCTTTCCCACTCCCAATAGCAATGCCATGTTTCCAGTGACTCCTTTATGTGGTAGCCCCTTGGAATATCACAACATTGATTTCCTTTGAATGGCAGGTTTTTCAAAGCCAGACTGTTTTTTACTCTCTCTTCAGTGGCAATAAAGCAGCATCTGGAGCTTGCAGAGCTACCTGCTCAATGTAGCTGCCAACATGTTAATTTCTTAGACAGCCACAGCACGGCCCTTTTGGGTTAAAGAGCAAAGGCCTCCGTCCTTCCCAATCCAGCCCTGTCATGTGGAGCTTAATTCGTCTTGACTTCTTTGTTTGCAAACTCTGCCTGTGTCAGCAAGACTTGTGCCTTCCCCTGATTAGTAGGATCCCCGAGTGTGTTTAATTTGATAGGGGAAGAGTGTTCCCAGAGGGCCCATTACAACTAAAATGTACAGGTATTTACAGAGGTTCCCCTGGAGATTTTCTTGAACTCCCTTTCTGGGGTGAATGAGCTTTTATGACCATCCAGCGAACCAGCAGGGTGAGTCTCAGAGAATAGAGCTTAAAAATACAGGGAGGAATCTCTGAAAGGGCAGAAACACAAAGAGACGAGGAAAGGTTGGCACATCTCCACATTTTTCTGACATTTTAAACTCTGCAGGTGCAGAGACAGCGCCGATCTTTAACCTTTTTATTAGCTCCTCGCACATCTCCAGCTAGTAAGGAAAAGTAAGAGCTTTTTTATTTTCTTTTTATCATCATCATTGCGGGTCTTTGTTCCCACCCTTTTTTCAAAGGCAGATTGTGAATTTTGCGGTATAAATGCAAAACCCTAGAAGAACATCACATTCTCATTGTTATATCTATTTTGTTAAAATAAATTTTAAAATAGGTATATATTTTTATAAATGTGTTTCTGCCTACCCACCCCCATTTCTCTAGCTGCTAGCATTTTGGTGTCTGGCCATGGGTTGGAGGTTGCCTGAAGGAATGCTTCTCCCCATAGGAGCCTACCAGTTGCTTCAGTTTGAGAGGGGAGGGCCATGCTTAGAGTCTATTCATCAAGAAAAGCTTAATCTAATACAGTCATACCTCGGCTTGAAGTAGCTTCAGGATAAGTATTTTCGGGTTGTTCGCTGTGGCAACCCAGAAGTAACGGAGCACATTACTTCCGGGTTTTGCTGCTCGCACATGCGCAACTATTCTGGACAACAGCCATACGAGAAATATGTAAAATAACAAGTATTAGACATCACCCCAGAATTGGCCCTACTAAATATCTTCCAAGACAACAATGCCCATTTACACCACAAAGAACTCATAACCCACCTACTTTCAGCAGCCAGAAACACCATAACCAGACACTGGAGAGACCTGTCAGGAGTAAGCATGGACCAATGGTACCAAATAGTATGGGAAACAGCCCTACTAGAAAAATTAACCAATAAATTGAAACTGACACGGGGACAAACAGAAGAAGACGCCTTCACCCCGGTATGGCTCCCCTTTATCACATACACAGCCCAACAAGACAATGACAATAATCCACCAACAGCATACAAATCAATATGGCTAACCTGATCCAAAACACCCACCCACCCCATTCACACACAAAAACAAAGATCACCACAGCCAATCACAAGCAAACAATCACACCCTAGGCCAACCCCAACCTCTCTCACCACCAAAGGAACGCAAGTGAACAACACAAGCAACGCTGACACCAAACTCTCCATACATTAAGCATAATAGAAATATCGCCACCCGACCCCACCCCCCTTTCTTCCCCCCTTTTTTTTCTTCTCCCCCTAATGTCTCAACAAATGAAACGGATTTGTAAAAATGTTACATGGGGGGGGGGGAATACGAGGCATTACACTTACTTCTGTAAAACAAGAAAATCCTTAATAAAATATTTTTAAAAAAAACAAAACCCACTGACTCCAATCCTGTCCACCAAAACCCAGTTTAAATGAAGAATTTTCACACTGCTTCCAGAATACATCTAGCCTTGAGATTGGGCCAGGTCTCAATGTGACAGGAATTTCAAAGTAGAGGGGCTGCCACCACAAGCCACCCTGGACCCCTTATGATCCTGGCCTGGTTTTTTGCATCTAGGTTGTCTCACTGTAAAGTTTGCAGTCCTAAAGTATTGTTTTTCTCCAGTACAAGGGCACATAAGTATTGTAATATATGAAGATGTATTCCCGTCATTAATCTCTGTGAATAGGTGTGTGGAATGAATGCATGTATGAGTCAAGTACAGAATATTGACAGTATCTGCTCAAGGACAGGTGATGGGCAGTTCCAGGGTCAGCCTATTGAATTGGTATCCTGCATGGCTGAATTGTGAAATTGCAACAACTGGATTTTTTTAAATTTTCAAAGGTTGTTAACCAAAAGGTTGGTGGTTCAAGCCCATCCAGGGATGTCTGAGGGCAGAATTCATGCGTTGCAAGGCCCCATCCAGCTCTTCAATTCTGTGATTCTAATTTTTATTGATTGCAACCAATGGCCATTACAATATAAACATAAAACACATACAGTAAGCCCACAACTTGCACTCAGTTTATTTACACGTTCACAACTTTACACAGGAAGTGTGTGGGGAGTAAATAAACGATGGTGATGAGCCAGGGAAACCCTCCACTCTATTTATTTAATTATTTCCCATTTCCTTACACCCAGTGAATTTTTCTCACTTACCAGGGTCTGGGAAGGTTGCAGAAGGGAAGCTGTCAGAGCTCTCTCACAATTTTCCCAGACCCCAGGTAGCAGCACTTCAGCACCACACAGGGGGGCAGTTCTGGGGGTTCCTGACTTTGCATGATCTTGCGTTTGCCCATGAATCCCCACAACTGAACCCTCTCATAAGGGGCAGGCCCACTGTGTGTGTAAAACATAGGGTAGCAGTCATTGGCCCAGTAAGACGGGGAGAAATACTAAGAATACAAATAGATAGGTTTCAAAACATTCATTTTATTTAGTTTGGTGATTCTAAATTTAACTCAGAGCAGTAAACTGGATAGTAATCATAGGCATCAAATAAATAATATATATGTGTGTTAAATTTTATGTCAGGTTGTTTTTAATGTTTAATTTTATCTGTATTTTTAAAATGAAAATTATATAATGTTTTATGTAAACAGAGTACTAGTTGCTTGTACTCTTTTTGTTTAAGCAGTATCTAAATGTTATTAAATAGGCATCAACTTGATACACACATGTGGTGGCAGTAGTCTCTGCAGTCAGTTAGGTATTTCCTATGCTATCATGATTTTGGAATTTTATGAAACATGTATGCTTCTATTTCCAGCACAGAAATGGAGACAAGCATGAACATCACACCTTTTAAGAATCCCAGCTTAGTATTGTGTAAACCAGGAATCTTGGTTTACAAGAAGCAATGCTTACATGTTAAACAAAACAATATTCCACTATCAAGTAAAGTCAATCCTTTTTAATCAGCCTATCACTGTAAATACCTTGCAGGAAAAACCCCTGCACCTGACCTTCTAAAGTTTTTCAGTAGGGACTGTGATACCTGCAGCCAATTGTGTCAAAAAGAGCAAAGGTAATAGCCATTTATTTATTTCCCCATGATAGCCCATGGAGCAGCACAAAACTTCAATTCTCCTGAATTGCAGTTCTGCTTTGGACATGAGGCAGGCAACTTCCAAAATATTCCAAGCTGAATTGAGCCAGGTTCCAAAGTGCCAGACTCAGTTCCAAATGGATTCTTGTGCGTTATGGATCTCTTAAAGGAGTTTTCTGCTTCCCAGAGCTGCACTAATCCAAAATGTTCATCTTTGCAACTCTCCTTCTCAGTAAAACTTAAATCCAAGGAAGAAGAAGTTTGGCTTAGATGGCAAAATAATGTTTAAACTGAACAGCAATTGTGGGACTATGCTAATAAGTGAAAGCGAGAAGTATTACAGGATGTCAGTCATATAACATCACAGATAAATGTTGGAGAGGAGAATGAAACCTCCCCATGGGACATATATACTAATGAAACCTTTGCAGTCTGGTTATTTTTTATCCTTTTGTCAGAGAAAATGTGTATTTGAAAGTTTTAATTTGAGGAGCACTAGTGTGAAGTTCCTACTCTAAGTCAGGTTGGGTTTTTTCCTCATCACTGCAGCACTCAACATCACACTGTTTGGTGCTACTTCTGTGGGGTTCAGGGTGTTCCCACCCCTTCCTCCTCTTTCTGTTTGGAGCCCACTTTGATCTGTGTTCGAAATGCTTTCTCTCTCCCCCCCCCCCCCCATTTGCTTCTGGTACCAATCACCTGCTTTTTCATTGAGAAAACATTATTAGTATTCCAGCAGTGCTGGGATGGCTTTTATCTCCCAGCGGAATCTCATTAGCTCTGCATTACAATAGGAACAGCATATGTCTGCTATGCCCAAGTAGCCAGTCAGTTTGAATTTGTTAATGGCAACACTTTATTTTTCCCCACAGCAAAGTTTTCCCCACATCTTCAATGCTAATAATACCCCCAAAAAGCAACTTTGTTGTGGAAGCGTTAAAAAGAAAAAAGAAAACACCACAAAATCAATTCGTTGGAGGTTGAAATGTAGCAGAAGGAGAGCTGTTGCTAACGGTTTGCTTTTATGTGTGCCTGTTACGTAACTAGGAATCTAAGCATGCTGTGTGAAGGGGAAAACTAGGGCATGATAGATAGCTTGCAAGTTAGAATGGGAATAAGCTAATTACTGGCAGTTGGAAGAAAGACAGTGTGCAATTATACTGTGGCTTTTTAAGACTTTTTATTGTGCGTGTCTGAATATACCAGCTTTTCTCAACCTGGCGCCCTTCAGGTGCTTTGAACTGCAACTCCACCGTCTGGATCCATCCAAAGCACCCTGGAGGGCACCAGGTTGTGGAAAGGCTAGCATACATGTTAGAGGTAGTATACATTTTGTGGATGAGGAGGGTCTTGTTGATCTCATCTAACTTCTATAGCAAGGGAGGGAAACTTATGTAGGAAATGCTAAATCAGGAGCTGAGCACAAGAGTCCTCTCCCCTCCCAGAGTTTCCAGAAACCGGTATTCGGAAGGATTACTGCTTCTATCCATGGAGGCAGAGCATAGCCATCATTTCTAGTGGCCACTAATGGCCTTCTCCATGGATTTGTCTAATCCTTTTTTAAGGTCCTCTAGGTTGGTGGCCATCACTGCTTCCTGTGGGAGCAAGTTCCATAGTTTTAACTATGCACTCTGTGAATATGTCCTTTCTTTTATCTGTCCTGAATCTTCAGCTTTATTGGGTGTCCACAAGTTCTAGTATTGTGAGAGAGGGAGAAAAACTTTTCTCTACCCGCTTTCTCCATGCCATGCATAATTTTATAAATTTGTTATGCAAGTTTCATCCCAGTAAAACCATTAGGAGGTGGAATTGTCCCAAGCCCAGTGGGTGGCTACCTCACCACCTCTGTTTCTTTAAGATACCCATACCTCAGCTTTTGGGGTATAACCCTGGCAAGGCACCTCACAGCAATGAACAAATACAATACATTCTGGCATTGCAAACCTGCTCTCCCTCCTCTCCTATTTGCTTTGAGAGATTGGCAGTGACTTGCACCTATCCCTGCATGGCATCAAGTCCATCCTGATTGAGGCCAGGCCATAAGTGCTGTAGTGCAGTAGCAGTCGGTCATCCAAGATACTCCCGCCTCCCTTGCTAGCATATAGAGGGGTAGATGACACAACAAAGTAGAGACAGAAATCGCCTTTGCCACAGCATGATCACAGCATGGAGGAGAGACATAGTTTAGCGGTAGAATATCTGCTGTGCATGCAGAAGGTCCCAGGTTCAATCCCCATTGGCATCTCCAGGTACGGCTGTGAATGTCCCCTGCCTGAAACCTTGGAGAGCTGCTCCCAGTCAGTATAGGCAGTACTAAGTAGACCAATGGTCTGTTCAGTACAAGGCAGCTTCATATATATATATATATATATATATATATATATATATATATATATATGCTTTTTATTAGTTTTCTTGCTTAACAAACACACCCAAGAAATTAACAAAAATGATAAAATAATAACAACAAAAACAAAACATACATCCATAAATCCATACGTTCTTACAAAAGAACTTATGCCGCCATGTTCTTAATTCCCAATTCCTTATCTTCCCCAATAGACATCCGTCTTCCTCAAAGTGGACTTGTCTTATCTGTTTAATAAACTGCTTCTAAGGCAGCTTCCCATGTTCCTTTTGTTTCTGGAAGAGGCCAAAGACCAGTGAGAAACAAAGCCCTCCTGGTGCAGTGAGTCAGGGCTTTTCTAGATACAGGAAAATAAAAAGGATAGGGAAACAATGGGACAAAGAAGATCCGTGTAGCAAAAGGAGGACCCAGTGATGAGTCCCAGCCTTGTAAAGGAACAAGGATCCACCCAGCCTCCTCAGAAGTCTGGGATTATTGGGACTCCTGGGATACTCAAGAGCTGTCCTTCCCACCTCAATAGGGAAAAGACCCCTTCCTTTCCATTGTGTGCATCTTGGCTTAGTTTTCTAAGACAAGGGGCAGAAACAAGATGCTTTTCTAAGACAAGCCTTTGGCCCTCCAGATGTTGCTGAACTACAGCTCCCATTATCCCTGGCCATTGGCCATGCTGAGCTTGATGGGCGTTGTAGTCCAGCAACATATTTGACCTACACCAATATATGATAGTGCCTCTTCCTAGTCTGTAAGGCAGATTGAGGTGTGTGTGTGTGTGTGTGTGTGTGTGTGTGTGTGTGTGAATCCATTGCTCTGGACTCTATTGCAGCTGGTCTCATTCACAACTGGCATGCAGCTGCCAACCTGCAACAGTGTTTCTCATGTCAGCTTTCAAGCAAAATATTTTTTGAAGGAAATTACATGTCAACCAACTGAAACACCAGGGGACTGGTTTCCTCCTCCTGTTCACTTGTTGCATTACATGGGCCAACAAGGATATCAACTTCATACCTTTGGCTCTGTGTATGTATGTGTGTGTGTGTGGTTGTTGTTGTTTTTTAAAGCAACAGCAATTCCTGGTTGTTGTTTTTAAAGAAACAGCAGCAATTCAGGAGGATGTGGAGTGTAGGGAATGTGACAGAAGAGAACTTGCAAAAGCTGTAATTGTGGCAGAGCTGAGGATTTTCCTCTGTGGTGCTTTTTCCCGCTGCTTGTTAGTGATTCCACAAAGCTGCGCTGGGCTTCATTCATGGAGCCACAGCCAAGAGGGAATTAATCCCCTCTTCATTGCTGTCATAGCCTAAAACACAAAACCCTTGATGTAGCTGCTTTCTCAATATGCCATCGTGTGCTGCTTTCCCCTTAGTACTACTTAATTGTGCTAACAACAATGTTGGAATCTCTCTGGTACTCCTAATTTTAGGAACTTCGTTGGGGGTTTTTTAAATAAAAAAACCGAGTCATTAGTCCTGGGGACACAGATAGTTACATAGATTTTATGCTATGAGCTAGGTTAGGAGTACATCTTTTTGAGCTTCCTTTCCTTTTTGTTTTTAAAATCACAGCCGTGTATTAAAGGAAGGACCATAGCTTAGTTTAAGAGCATTTGATTTGCATGCAAAAAGTCCCAAGTTCCATCTCCAGCTTCTTAAGTTGGGCTGGAAAAGACGCCTGTCTAGAAAACCAGTGCCTGTTAGTGCAGACCAGGGATGAGGCAGCTGTGGCCCTCCCAGGTGTTGCTTGGATTACAACTCACATCTTCCCAGATCATTGGCCATGGTGACTGAGGCTGATGGGAGGTTCCCCTTCCCTCTTGTAGATGGCACTGAGATAGATGGACCAAAGAGCAGGCTTTGTATAAGGCAGGTTGCAAGGTAACATTGGTTGATGCTGAAATGCCCAAGCCTCCCTGTGCATTTTGTATCTGAGCTGCTGTAGCTTAGTGGGTAATAGTTTAAGCTGTGAACTTGCCATATGGCTTTCCTTATCCCACTCCCACCTCCACATCTGTAACATGGGAATGATAATACTAGCTTATTGTATTGGGTTGGGTGGTTCTGAATGATTGCTGACCTTTTACATGAAGTCCCTCATGTATTTGAAATTTGCTTGTTTCTGAAAATTATTGTTTTCCCGTGGCTTCTAGAGAGCATTCTACACCCAGGGATGGCACCTTCCTCTGATCTGGATTAGTCAGGATCCACACCAATCTCATTCTCTACAGAGGAAGGGGCCATCCCACCCTCCAGGCCAGCCCTACCTATGACTGGAGGTCTCTTGGTAATCCAAAAGAGCCCAGTTGATGTCACTATTTTTGGTGGTGGAGAGGGGTTGCTTCTTTTGTCCCCTTGTGTATTTTGCCTTCTGTGTTCTTGATGTGCCTTGGTTCTCCATTCGTTGTTGCTTTCTAGTCTGTGTTCCCTTTGATCATGTAGATATTTGTGTTCAAGGGGGTAGGGTTTCCCAATTCCCCCTTCCAGCTGTAACCCCACTTGCTACATCATCCTAAGTCTTTCTAGAAAATCCAGTAAACCTCAAGAATGACTTTTTGTGGGGGGGGGACCACTGGCTGTAGCAGAACGGTGGGGCACAGGAAAGCCCAATACTGTGAACATTTATTATTCATTAATATTTTGAAATAATAACCCCTGACCCACCACCTAGCTATTTGACACCAAAATACTTTGGATACCTTAAGTCTTGCTTTACTTCATTGTGACCGCTTCTGTTAGACAAGTCAAGAGAAGGGCCAAGTGGAAGATACATGGAAGGAGTTGTACGTTGTCAAAACATCACTGACAAGTCTTCCTCTCTCTCTCCCTCCCTCCTTTCTTGTCACCTCCAGGTAACTGATCATGCTACTACTGCCTTACTGCATTACCAGTTGCCTCAAATGCCGGATGTGGTAGTCAGGTCATTTATGGTAAGTTTGATACAAACTCTCTCAACTGGCATAACTTTGCAGTGTAGTTAATAATGGCATGTGGGGTTTTTATGAAAGTTTTGAAAGGCTGTTTTGGTCAAGGCAAGAGGGGAAAAAGGGGGAAAGGGAAGCAGCATTGTCTGTTGTTCATCCCCACCCCAGGATACTGTTGGAAGATTTTGGAAATCTGGACAGGGAGCATACTGGAAACTACAGCCATTGGTGTTTACCAGAGCATGTCTGAAAGTGTATTGGTGGAGCTGTTCAACAATATAATGGGGAGAGAAAACAAGGAGCACAAGCTAATCCTGGCTAGAGCAATTACAGAATGATGCCTTTTGCCCTTCAAAAAGTCCTAGTGTATCTGCTGAAGAATCCTACCCTGGATCATGTGTTTTACAACAGCTGTCACCTCATTGTATTAATTTACAAGGCCCTTAACTTGGGTCCATGATACCTCAGAGACCACCTGAACCTTTATATCCCATGTAATCACTGAGGTATTTGGAGGAGCCACTGTTAGTGGTCCCTCATGGCTCAGATGCACCTTTCATATACACCAGGAGCCAGGCATTCAGTATTGTGAGCCCAAGTCTGTGGAACTCCCTCCCACTTGAGATCAGCAGGCCCCTTTCCTGCTGAACTTCATACGCTTGACAAAGATTTAGTTAATCCAGCAGTATTTATAGTTTTAACTCACTTTTAGTCTTATTGTCTTGGGTTCCTGTGCACCTCTTAAGAGACCACTGTGATTAAGTAGTTCACCAAATGTTGAAATAAATTAGTAACAACATATAATAAATGGCAAAACTCACTGAGCATCTGACTAGCTAAGCTCCATGTGAATGATGTGCCTTCCTCAGCGTGCCTTCCTTTGAAGCGTCCATTAACTGCCAGTGCACTTTTGATGAGCAGCAGCCAATCATGGCAACTCAGTTCCCCCGCTGCAGCACGCACTTGAAAATTAATGTGCAGAAACTGTATGGGACACATTTGTCTGAGCCATAAGGTTTGCTGTATTGATTCACTAAAGCAGTTCTGATAACTTTTAACAAATCAACGTCAGGATGTTCACCCCAAGTGCCAATAGCAGTAGGCATTTCGCATATCAGGTGTGCAATCCAGTTGACAGGATGTGGTGAAGTCTTAATTGTCCAGACAAGAATGAAGGACTTCCTTTTTAACCTCCTTTTCCTTCCAGCAAATGTTTTAAGCACACAGTTTGACCTGATTTTCCTTTTTTTAAAAAAAGAATTTCAATATGGTTAAATAATGATAACCAAGTCCAATGAAGCCGGTGTAATCAGCAATTCTCTTGTGCCCTTGTGTTCACTACTGGCCCTGTCTTGACTTCTGCAGCCAGAGAAGGCCTTAAAGAAAGTTATTGATAGGCCACTATATACAAACCGAGAGAGAGAGAGAGAAAGAGAGAGAATGCACATTGGATGAAGAGAGAAGGGTTCGTTTCAATAAATGGAGCCAGCCCCTTCTTCAGAGAACAGTTTTCTCTTATTGACATAATTCAATAGGATTTCAGATGACAAGATTCATGAGCATCCTTCATAGCACAAATCTGTCTGTCTTGGAGGCTTTCTTTCTTCTTCTATAGCTGCATGTCTCCTTGAGCTTCAAATTAAGTTATATAACGTTGCTTCTTACTTAGGGCCATGGGGATGACCTACTTCGGGGGCAAAACCTTCCCCTGGAAACACCTTGCTCAGCATTTGATTTCCTTTGCCCTCCTCCTTCCCCACCTAGCTTGCTGTCTCCTAAGGCCTGAGGGCAGAAAGTGTAGTTTTAAAAATACAGTCTAACCATTAAAAAAAAAAAAGGCAGCTGAAGTAGAAAATGTTACTGCCTCCTTGACCTTGACCGTCCAACTTAAGGCCAGGCTGGGTAGAGGAAGAGCGCTTCCTGTGCACATAGAAGAAAAGGTGGGGACTGGCTCTGTTGTTACTGTTTTTGTAGAGGAGATATTTTGCATGCTTTTAATATTTACTGTTATAAACATTTTCTTGTTAGCAAACATTTGCATGATGAGTGTGGCACTCCTTGCCTGAAGAAGTAGAAGGAAAATAAACATTGCATAATTTAATTTGCTGAAATGTTTGGGATTTTTTTTTTTCCACACATGGCAGGCGGTTCTCATTAAACAAATGCTCCATCCTTGTCTAATGGAGAGCTGATTTAGAGATCTGCTGGCCAGATGTCTAGGGAATAGATGGAAAATCTGTGACACTTTGGACGCTGCTGGACTTCCACCTTCCCTGACCCTGAAGCCAATGGGAATTGGGTTCCACATCTGGAAGGCCCGAGGCCTCCCCATGTTGGGTTTGCGGGACGAGGCTGTATTGCTGCAGAGTGTCAGGTCTCCCATAATGGTGTCCCAGACTGAAATACAGGAAGCTGCTGAGTCACACCATTGGTCTGTCTAGTTCAGTATTGTCTATAGTGACTGGCGGGGTCTCTCCAAGCCCTACCTGGAGATGCCATTGAGTATTGAATCTGGGACATTCTCCATGCAAAGCAGATGATCTAATACCAAGCTATGGCCTTTCCCTATATACTCTGCAGTCTAGAATATATTATTTGTATAAATAAAAGTTTATGTTTAACAATCTCTTGGCTTTTGTTTTTGTCTGTCATTTCAAGGGGCCACTGTATGTATCTTCATTTTCCATAAGTAGATGCAACTAAAATTCAGTAGGCATTTGGGGTCAATATAGTAAAAAGTATCTCTGTAGAGATAAGACTATGAACCCGATGCTTTGCATACAGAAGGGCATTTGTTATCCAGCATAACCAGCTGAAAGTGCAGAAAATACTCCTGCCTGAAACATAGGGGATGGAGGCGCAACTGCCAGTTTTGGTCGGCCAATCTTCCTACCCTGTTGCTGTTGGACTCCAATTCCCATCAGCCCTGGGCAGTATCACCAATGGTCAGAGATGATGGGAGTTGTAGTCAAACAACATTTGGAGGGCTGCAGGTTCCCTGTGACAATAGTGAAACATACAGACCAATAATGTGATTCAGCATTAGGCAGCTTCATGTGTTTCTGTTCCCATCTCTGCCCTGGGAGTTGCAGAAACTGGTGTGCTTTTTATCACTGCAGCTAAAATGGACCTGATCATATTTATTTGTTAAATTTATTATATCCTGCTTTTCCTCCCTGAGGAGCTCAGGGTGGCAAATACATGAGTGATAAACAGTTTAATCATCTAAAAACATCACCAATACAGAAACAGACTGGGAAATACCTCTATTTAAAATGGTTGTTGAAAGAGGATGGTTTTCATTAGGCGCCAAAGACAACAGAAATAGCATATATCATGGCATATATTATATATTTCCCCAACATTAGCAGCACTGCCAAACAGACCTGCCCTAAAATTGGCAACTCTTCCTGCTTTCCCAGATTCCTGCCTAGTCATGGCCTTCTTTCTGAACAAGATTTAAATCCATGTTGGCCATGAACAAAATATATCTGCATATATTCTTGCTGAGACTTAAGGCACATGTTTGAAAGGATAGCTGTGAAACTGGTTTTCGAAATGTTTCTGTATGATTTCACATTTCTGAAGCATGTGGCTCTTGGATAGATGACGTTTGGATGCAAGAGGCAGACTCTAGCATCTCATAATGAAAAGGTCACTTTTTATGAGCTGAATGGTCAAGCTGAATTTGATTTTGGTCTAGCTGCAAGGAAGTCCAGGCTGTCCATGGTGACCCTTTAGTTACAAATACCTGCTTGTCACTGCAGGAATTTCTGTTTATGTTGTTGCTTATTGAGAGAGGACAGGCATTCCAATAAAGTATACTATCAGCTGTACTGTGACCTTGTGGGTTTTTGGTATACTTCCTTCTAAAGTCTGCCTCTCTCTGGGCTCAAGCCAAGATACATTTCCCATCCTCTGCATCATTGGTCTTGACAGAAGTGATGACATTGGGAGTGTCCGTATTAAGTTTCCTCCCTTCTTTCTTTTTCTTTCCGACTTTTTAAGACCTGGTTAAGAAGTTACATAAAGCTGTTCCAGGCTCCATGCCAGCGCTGCGGAAGGTTTCTGCAAGATGGTCTACCACCCACATGGCGGGACTTTCGGACACTGGAGGCGTTCCATGACACCTGTAGGCAGTAGCACAACCTGGAGGCTGACAGAAGTCTGTGGAGGAAACAGACTCAGAAGTTGGATCCCAAGAAACACCTCTTTACTGTTTTCCAAATATCTGTATGGACAACTCGCAACTTAATTTGTACAAATTCAGCTTTATGCGCTTGGCTGGGGGGGGGTTGTAAAAATAAACACAGGGTAGGTGTTGGGGGCTGGAGGAATTGGCAGTCTCACTCATCATTACACTCCTCTTAGAGGAGCATTTGGAGGTGCAGAGAGAGAATAATGGCCTTCGTAGTGGCCTAAATTATTGGCAAATAATTTAGAATTTTGATTTCCTTTCTCATATTTATTTTTGTTTCAGATACAGCAGACTTTTTGTTATTTGTTGAATTTCTATAGTTTCCGATTTATGACATGTAACTTTAAATTTGTTTCCTAATTTTTATAGAACCAGTTGGTTTATGGTGCTGTTCTAATTTTTTCAATGCAATATGTAAAGATGTTGCTGTTTGTTTATGTTGTTTACATATCTTATTCTTTCCTGCCATACTGCTGCTTTCATAGAACCACACATCATTTATCTGGTAAATCTATATCTGCAATAGGTTCAAAATGTTCTGAGATGGTTGTGGAGATGGCTTCGACAGCTACTTGGCTGGTTAGTAATGTAGTGTCAAAATGCCATGATTGTGCGGTTTTATGCATGTTTAAGATAGGAATGGTCGACTAGACTGGAGAAGGATCAGGTCACCAGGAAGGTGCCGATTTTTGCTTCTTGGATTTAAGTGAAGTGGAGATAAGAATATAATCTGTTCCAACCTCCTGTCCCCCATGCCTTTGGGGGACTAGATTCCTTTTCTTTATCCTTCCACTGTTCTTGTGAGAAGCACAGGCTTTGAACATAGCCTCCCCTCTGACCCCAGTCAGCTCCGCTTCTCCTTCGCTCTGGTCCGGCTAGCCGCTTTTAATGACTGATGTTTTAATGTATTTTTAATCTTTTATTGGAAGCCGCCCAGAGTGGCTGGGGAAACCCAGTCAGATGGGCGGGGTAGAAATAAATAATTATTATTATATTATTATTAAACCACCGTACATCAATTATTATTACTATATTATTATGATTATTAAACCACCGTACATCAATCAAATCATATTTCTTAAGAATTTTTTAAAGAAAATTAGTTTTTTATTTTGTTTTCTTAGCAGTTATTCATAATGGTGTAGATCTGTCCCAATCAGGATCAGCAGCCCAGTTCAGGTCTCTAGCTAGGATTGATTAATCCACCTTCTGCAAAATTTTGAAACTGTTTTAAGTGTGGAGGTCAAAATTAACTGGATTTTATTTGGGGCATACATAGAAGCTAATGTGAAAGTTAGAGGATCTGCATTCCCTTTAAGAAAAATAAAACAGTGCTCTGTTTCTCTTTTAATTTGTTTGCAGAAAAGGGGAAAAGATTTTGAAATAAAATCTGAAATCCATCTTCTCTTCATTTGGTTGCCCAATCATTTAGAATTCAGGATAAAAACTTTTACAGGTTAAGACGTATAAAAATATGTACCTGAAAATGAGATACATTCTGCATCACTACGTAAATAAATATCAAAATTAAACATATAGTAAAAACATATAAAACATATAAACATATTAAAAAAAAACCTCCCACGAGGTACCAACTCCAGATGACAAGCTCATAAATATTGCTTCCAATATACTTGTGTCCCATCAAGGTTCCAAACATGCTAGAAATTAAAAACAGAGAACATTAACAATGAACAATATATAAATTAAAGCAGAATTCCATCATAATCATAGAATTCTGTAACACTTATTATAAGTTATTACTTATTATAAGTTATTACTTATTATAAGTTAAGCCCCCCTTTTCTCTGACAGTTTTCATAAATTTGTTTGTAATGAAAATTTTGTCAAGACAATGTCACCAAAAAATGCTGCAATTTTTTTGGTTTAGGAACTAGCGTGCAAGAAGCATAAGAGCAGACATGTTTCCCGGGTCAATTGCAATCGACCGGTCGATCATGGGATAGATTTTGATCGATCGCACCATGGCTCATAGGAATTGAAAGAGGCAATGCCAGCCGGGAGGGCAGCGTGCAGGGAAGCCGTGGAGCCCATGCCACCCTCATCGCCTCCACCCGCCGCCCTCTGCCATGGCCACTGAGCTCCCTAATGCTCGCTTGGCTGCGGCTGGAGCGACTCCACAGGGGCCATGGCCGGTCAAGGCTCGGCTTAGCTGGGCTTGCTCACCGCCACAGCAGGTGCTCTGGCTGGCGCTGGCGCTGGCGCTGCCTCTGCCTCCTCGTGGCCACCTCAAGCACCTCCTTCCTGCTCCAGGTGCTACTGATTTTCAGTGCCTGCGGGCAGGTGCTTCGGTGCTCTTTTCTCCACTCCACTGCTCTCTCCACGCCCCGCTCTGGCTGTCAGCTTTGCCTGACGCCCAGCCAGCTGGCCGGCCCAAGAAAGGCGTAAGGCACCTGCCTCTGCCCTCAGAAAGCCACAGCCCCGGGCAGGGAGGTGGGGGGGCGGCAATGAGGCGTGCAGACTCCACACGGAGGGAGGGAGTTGTGGGTAGGGTGGTGCACAGAGAAAAACAACGATGCCCCTCCTCCCTCTCCCCCCTCTTGTTGGTTCTCAGGGAAAGAAAAGGCCGGGTCCCCCACCCCTCTGATCTCCCGCCTAGTTCCTCTGGAACTGATCTAAATTGTTAATTCTGGTTTCTCCCCTTATTTTCCTAATCATCCACACAGTCAGATATCATAGAAGATTTTGGATTTTTTTCTGAGTTTTTTCACACCCAGTCCCTTAGTTTCGTTTGCAATTATTTGGATAATTTTTCTAGTTGATTTTAATAGTGTCAAAGGCTTTTTGCCACTCTGCAAGTAAGGCAGTATGTAGATTTTGTTTTGTTTTTTTAAATAATATTCATTACTTTTCCAAAAAATTTAAACACTAAAAAAAACACAATACAATACATTAAACTAACAAAACAAAACAAAAACAATAAAATAAATCAAACAATTTCATTATCCCATCTTTCATTCACTTATTTCCACGACCTCCTCACACTTCCCTTTTTGTATTCCACTTCTGTTAATTATTTCAGCAATTCCTTTCCATCTTCCTCTGTTTTCTATCCTATAATTATCTTAACTCATTCTAACCTTATTTTTTCCTTTAATACTCTATTAATCTATTTATACTTAATTCCTTATAACATTTCTACTAAAGCCATGTAACTTCATTCCAACATTTTTCTAACATTCATTGATTATACAGTATTTCTGTAGATAATCTTTAAATTTTTTCCAATCTTCTTCCACCGACTCTTCTCCCTGGTCTCGGATTCTGCCAGTCATTTCTGCCAATTCCATATAGTCCATCAACTTCATCTGCCATCCTTCCCGGGTGGGCAGTATGTAGATTTTGTACTTTGACATTAGTGCCTCCACACTGTTGGAGAAGCAACATCTCCTAGTACAGGTTTCCTTCGCTTGGCAGCCATTTTGTGTACAGTGGACCTCGGGTTACATACGCTTCAGGTTACATACACTTCAGGTTACACACTCCGCTAACCCAGAAATAGTGCTTCAGGTTAAGAACTTTGCTTCAGGATAAGAACAGAAATCATGCTCCGGCAGCCTGGCGGCAGCAGGAGGCCCCATTAGCTAAAGTGGTGCTTCAGGTTAAGAACAGTTTCAGGTTAAGAACAGACCTCCAGAACGAATTAAGTACTTAACCCGAGGTACCACTGTACTTTGTTCCCACTCTGCTTTTATTTCTAAGATTGTAACAAGCCAGAAGATGAAGTTCTGGGGGATGTTGTTTGCTGCTTCCTTTTTCAAGATCAAATATATCTTTAGAAATATTTAAAGTTTAGTTTAATCCATTGAAATCAGTTGTAAAGACTTTGTAGGGTCAGAGCTGTTCCTTCAAGCTGCTTTTTGGCTCTGTTCATGTATGACCCGCCATGATGATACTGTTTGTGGTCATCATCTAAAGCTTTGAGCTTTCAGGACTGAAATTTTGAGATCAATCACTGTCGTCATGATTTCCAGATGCCTGCACAGATGGACTGTGTAGGTTTTGTCAATAAATTACTCATATTTTTGTGTGAATTAAAGTTGGCTTTCAACTTCTGTCTTGGCTTCTGTTTTCCTTTTTGCCTGTCGCCCTCTTTGAAGAGGGTCATGGCAGGGGTGCCAAGAAGAAGAAGAAGAAGAAGAGTTTGGATTTGATATCCCGCCTTTCACTCCCCTTCAGGAGTCTCAAAGCGGCTAACATTCTCCTTTCCCTTCCTCCCCCACAACAAACACTCTGTGAGGTGAGTGGGGCTGAGAGACTTCAAAGAAGTGTGACTGGCCCAAGGTCACCCAGCCAACTCATGCAGGCTGAGCCCTTTTGGGGGGGCAGTGTTTTTGGGGATGGGGCCCGGCCCCTCCAATGTCCCAAAAAATCAGGGGGCAGATGAGGTCGACCATGGAGCAGATAACGGCACAGCTTCAGTGGCTGGCTCCTCCTCCTCCTGCCACAGAGGAGAAGGAGGATTAAAGCAACCCCCCACCAGTGGCGGCAGCAGGGGGAGGAGGAGGAGGATGTGCTGACCAGAGGGGCAGCAGATCCATCCTCCAAAGAATGCATTGCCAGCCGTCACTGCCCATGGTGCGCTCCTTGGAGGGCGGATCTGCTACCTCCTCAGCAGCCCATGCCACCTCTACAGCAGCCTCTTAGCAAGTAGGAAATGTCTTCAGGGAATGGTCAGGGTGGTTGCAGGGAGGTTGGTGTTCCATTTCACAAGAATTTAGGTGTCATTTTTGAAACGGAAAGCTGCTCTCCTTGACTTACAATCCAGATGTGGGAACCCCCTCAAAGCCCTGTTAGCAGAGATAGGTAAATTTTAATTGGAACCCCTTCCCGTTGCAGTGAGAGGCTCCAGCAAGGAATCTTCCTGCCTTTCAGATTTCATCCTGAGAGATTCTAGCTTCCAACCTTTTCAATTCATTCTGTTTAACTAGATCAAAAGCCCAGGCATGCAACGCTCGAGGCATAATAAAAGTACAAGGTGGGGGCAGCAAGCAAAGGTTATTGGAAAAAAATCGTTCCAAGCAGCCCTTGCCAAAAAGTGTTGCTTTTTCTTTTTTAAGGAAACGAACGAAGAGAAACTACACATCTTAATAATATGTATCCACCGAGAAACAGTTGGCCTTCTGCCATCATTGGCTATTTAGAGGAGGTCAGCCCATTTTTCACATTCCCGTTTCATTAAAGCATGGAAAGCGTGGACCTTGCCATTGCCTATCTAGTAAACCATAGCTTGGCAAACCAAGAGTTCACAAAGTGCCACAGTGAACCCCCTCTGTGACAGTTGAGACAAAAGACAAATGAAACCTCCCAAAGCAGAAGGCTTGCACTTTGCTCTTGAGCGTTGAGCTTAGCCGCCACATCTCTTCTGAAATGGTGTCTGATTGGGGGTGACTTTGTGGAGACCAGTCCAGGGACAGGGAAGTGGGTGCTTAATGCTTTCCTTGCAACTTCCCTCCCCACCTTGGGATCCCAGGCAAAAGGGTGTGTGGAGCATTAACCTGGCGGCACTCACAAGGATCATAGCCCAGGATAGAGCATCAGCATTGCATGGTGAAGGACCCATGTTCAATCCTCAGCATCTCCTGGTACCGTTTTGAATGCCCCCTGCTTGAAGCCATGGAAAGCCGCTGCCAGTCATTATAGACCAGCAGTGTGCCCCCTCCCTGTTTGGCCAAATCACACCCATCTGCTCTGTAGGTGGGTCAGGTAAAGATGAGGTAGGGTCAAAGGGAATTTGCAGGCACTGCTTATCAGCTGGTCAATGCACCTGAAAAGCCCCTAGAATTCAGAGGTGACTAACCTGAGACCCTCCAGACATTGGGATTCCCAACTCCCATCACCCATGACATTTGGCCATGCTATCTGGGGTGGTACAAATTGGGAGTCTTAAGTAACACCTGGAGAGCCACAGATCAGCAGCTCTTGGGGTAGGTGGACAATAGTTTGACTCCATGCAAGGCAGTTTCCTGTGCTCCTATATGACTCCTGTGTGTCCTGTGTTGGGGGCTGTGCTATTTCCATGATATGATAAGGGGGAAACCTGTTAAAGTTTACCCAGATACTATCACAGTAAAGCTCCCCATCTGTTCAATGTTGGCTCTACTAGTCAGAACACAGGCATAAAATTGATTTTCAGTAGGTCTCCATTAAAGGAAGAAATATTTTGGTTTTGTAGACCTTGCAGATATCACAAGTTGCAAAACGCCTTTTTAAGGAAGCAACTTAATTAACTTAAGGCAGGGGTGGTTTGTTTGTTTTTGCAAGCTAGGAACCCTCAGCAGGTATACATATTTCTGCTCCTTTCCCACCTCCCCCCCCCCCCCCCAGCAAGTCTGAGAGTTCCTTTGCTCGCTCACACACACCACAAACCACTTTAATTTCTCTGCTGATATTGGACAAATGTAACAGGCTGGCTTTTTAATTTTCTGCTTTCAGGTCTCCCTTCACCCCTCATGCATTTTTCATACTGACTTTCCGCTCCTTCCCTGCCTGCCCTGTGAACAATATCGATTGGCTGATTAAGCCATCAAGCCACGGCAAACAACTTTTAATTTTCTAACCGGAGGCCTTTAAGTTTGTACTTGTATAGTTGCTGCCCTTTTGGTGTTTTCCATTTGAGCCAAAAAAACAACAACCCCACCCCAAAAACCTAGAAGTCTGAGGATCAACAGAATGCAGAAGTGATAGCGTGCATGATAGAAGTATATAAAATGTATGGATAGAGAGAAGTTTTTGCCCCTCATAATATTTGAACTGGGGGATATCCAATGAAACTGAATGTTGGAAGATATGATTCTATGAAAGTGCTTCATAACACAGCTCAGAATTAAACCATGTCATTTGCTCCCACAAGGGACAGTAATGCTAACCAACTTGTGAGACTTTAAAAGAGGATTGGACAAATCCATGGAAAGTAAGGCTAACAATGGCACATGGATATGTTCTCCCTCCATGATCAGCGGCAGTATGCTTCTAAATCATGGGTTGGCAAACTAAGGTATGCGGGCCAAATCAGGCCCAATTGCCTTCTGGATCCGTCCCACAGACAGTCCAGGAAGCGCCATGTGGATAGCCAGCGCACATGTTCTCTCCCTCTCCCTCTCCCTCCCACGGCGGCGACGACAGCGCCTCCTCCCTCCTCCTGGCTTCTCCCTGCCCTGCCTAGAGGAGGAAGGGGGCTGGGCTTTGCTGAGCTGCTGTTGGCTGAGCGCAATTTTAAGCAGCCCCTCTCTGGAGCCAGCCCTTTCGCACCACTCATCGTCCCTCCGCTGCTGCCAGCCCCTGCCACTCGCAAGACACAGGCAAGCAGCCACCGGGGCTCATGATGCTCTTGCATAATTTTTTTTTTCCAAAATACAGTCTGGCCCCCCACAAGGTCTGAGGGACAGTGGACCGGCCCCCTGCTGAAAAAGTTTGCCGAACCCTACTCTAAATAATACCAGTTGCCACCAGTCACAAAGGGGAGAGTTGCTGTTGCGCTTGAGTCCTTGCCAGCTTTCCTTTGGGGCACCTGGTTGGCCACTGAGAGAACAAGGTGCTGGACTTTGGCCAGAGCCACCAGCCACATTATTATTATATTCTCCCTCCGCTGTTGGAGGCAGTATGCCTCTAAATGCCCGTTTGATGGGAACCACGGGGGGCGGAGTGCTGTACACTCAGGTCCTGCTTGTGGGCTTCCCATAATGGGCTTGACCACTATAAGAACAGGATGCTGGACTTGATGAACCACTGACCTAATCTGGCAGGTTCTTATGTTCTTTACTTCTTTCTTTATAAAAATGATTATATACTGCCCACTCATATAGAATATAGAGGCAGTGTGCTGCAAGGTACACAAATAGAATGAAACGCAAGAGAGCATAAAGCTTTGCAAATAGTTGTTTAAGCTAAGAGACTGTCTCATCTTGTTTCCTGCTAAGCAGCTCAATACAGTGGAACCTCAGTTTTCAAGCGTCTCGGAATCCGAACAATTTGGAACCTGAATGCTGGAAACCCAGAAGTAACTGTTTCCATTTTTGAACGCACCACAAAAGTCGAACGGCTTCCGAGGCACGTTTCTCCATTTTTTAAAAGGAATTTGCTGACTGGCCTCGATTGTTGAATGTTTCCGAAGTCGAATGGTCTTCCGGAATGGATTACATTCGAAAACCGAGGTTCCACTATAGATCTAACTTGAAACATGAAATTGGGGCTCACTTTAGAGCTGGTACCTTACCTGAGGTACTTTGCTAGGAGCCAGGTTCCTTGTTCAGAGTGGAAATAAAAGGGAAGACAACCCGGAAAATATCCTGATGTGGGCTCTTAAGCCTTTTGTCATTTATTTGTCGCAACAAAGACACAACCTCTCTAAAGGTACAGAAAGGAGAACCCCAGACAAAGTGTGCTCTGCCTTTTAAAGGTTTACATTTCCTGCAAAACGGCAAGAAATCCCACCTCACAGACATCAGGGACACGTACGAAAACATCAAGGATACATCACCAATCTGGGGTGTACAGTAGGTCAGTCAGGTCAAAATTACAATGTGTCAATCAGGACAGTTATGGACTGCAGGTCTTACACTTTTCCACGTAGAATTTACATGAGGCATTGACTTTCAGAACAATTTCAGCAAGTTGCGTTCAGAAGACATTGTGAACAACCAACAAGATGGGTACATCCTATTCATCAGACCGTCTGCAAACATTGCTACATATCTTATCAGTCACCTCCATCAGTATCCTTTGTGTTGGAGGAACCCTGCCCAAACGCTTCCCCTGACAGGTTGCAGCCTACCTGCTCCCGTGCTCAGGGGGTTATTATGACGGCAGCAGTTTCCCAGAATGCAGGAGTGTGCATGAGATTTTGGAAGTTAAGTTATACAGAATAAAGCATTTACAAACCGTTTTAAACAGCATTTCATTCATATAGACACAATTTCCTCAGTTAAACAGGCTTGACTAATTGTTTCCGGTTAAGGTAGACAGAATCAGTACCCAGCTGGGCTGCTTGCTACATTTGCGCAGCAGGCAACACCATTCACGGAATTCAGTAGCATTGCCTGCTACTTCAACGGGGCAGCCACAAGGGGTGCTGTGGTGCAACAGCTTTGACAGCAGAGGTTTTGACAGCTTGTCCCTTTAAATTTTAACCTTATTACACAGTAACCTTATTGCACAGTCGCAAAGGAATTCAAATATGTGCAAAGGGACTGATGGACCCATCATGAATCCAAACCTTAGATGAAACTTCATTGTTGAATTTAGCACATTGGAGGCCTTTCTCTGATTCAGGTGTGGAAGAATCCCTGACAAACACCACACATAGGTTAAATGCAATTTCCTCTTGGAGGTATTTTAAATTCCCACTGCGTTTGTGAACTTGGCCGGAGAAGAATCTCTCTCCTTCTCCCTCTCGCATTCACCTGGTATTCTTTGAAACAAATGATTATTTGAAAGGAAATGAAAAAGAGAAAAGGGGGGGTGCTTTATTTTATCCACTTGCATTGAGAAAACGCATTCAGTCACTCCAAGAAGCCTGGTTTAGATTTGGAGTCCTGCTCATTGCCTCGAAAGTCCCCTGCCCATTGCCTCCCCAATTCAAGCTGATGAAATTATTTGATGTTTTCCTATTCCCTTCGATGCTGCAATTCTTGACAAGTTTGGGATGCAGATAATTATTGTCTGCGGAAGTTTTTTGTTGTGGTTTTCTGTTTCTTCATTGTCATCTTTGAATCAGAGGTAGTTTGCCATCCTCCCCTCTCAAGCCTCTTAGCATTAAATAAAAAGATATTGTGTTCAATCAAAAGGGGGAAATCCTGATTTGCTTTTCTTTAATACAGTGGTACCTCAGGTTTCATACGCTTCAGGTTACATACGCTTCAGGTTACAGACTCCGCCAACCCAGAAATAGTACCTTGGGTTAAGAACTTTGCTTCAGGATGAGAACAGAAATCGCGCTGCAGCAGCGCAGCAGCAGCGGGAGGCCCCATTAGCTAAAGTGGTGCTTCATGTTAAGAACAGTTTCAGGTTAAGAATGGACCTCCAGAACGAATTAAGTTCTTAACCTGAGGTACCATTGTATATGGAAGGTAAAAGACCCTGTGTTGAGGTTGCTTTTTTAAAATTTCAGGTCTCTAAAGCCAAGGCATCAACAGTAGCCAGTTAGCTATCAAATACTTGAATTTTTAAAAAAAAATTTAAAGGAGACTGTTTTATGGAAATACTTGCCAACTTGGTCCTGTCAAGATCTGGATGTTTTCTTAAAACAAATATATTATTGAAGAAGGAAAAAACCAGACAATTCAGGCAAAGAGAAAAACAAATATTAACAGCAAAATAATACAAATTTAACACAAGGGGTTTTTGATATTAAAGTCAGAAGAAGAAATCAAGAGTGTATGAAATGGATAAAACTATTATAAAATTATAAATGGGGTATCTAAAAACTTACATTTTACAATGAAGGCAACAGGAAAACAGGAAAAGGTATTGTCTGTTTATAGACACCAAATAGATAAATAAATATTATTTGTGAAATTTGTTTGTTGCTTTTTTTATCACAGCAACTCAAAGCAACTTACAATATTTTAAAATCAAATTGCAAAGGCATTTGGCACACGTGTGGATGCAATGCCATATAGCTAATAAATAGAGGTGAAATTGGAAGGATCAGCGTCACCCCTAGCTGTTCAAATATGACATGCCAATTTCTCTGAGAGCAATGAATGTAACTTTCTTTTTTGGTAAAGTTCCCCCCCCCCCCCCATGTTATAATGTATATAAAACAGAGAGAACAATTATAACAACGGGCAAAAGTTTAAAGATAAAAAACAAAAACTGTAAAATGCACACATAGAATGAGTAGTTGCACATGAGTTTAAAATAGTAGAGTCCAAGTAAAGACTATCAACGTTATCAGATCATCAAGTCTACTGTAGTTCCAGATTTGCCAGGCTTGTGGCAAGGGCTGTCTTGTGAATTATGGTTCCACTGTATACGTATGGCATAAAGGCCATATCATATACAAAGGGTCTGAAGGTTCTAGTCCTTGTAGAAATCTCAAATTATGTGTGATTTCCTCCATTATAGCTATATTCCAGAATTAGTAGTACTAAGCATCTAGTGTAAGATTTTGGACTGTTTGGGGCATTGGTCTCTGTAGCACAAAGGGTCAGTATGTCTGGCTGTTAACCAGAAGGTTGGTGGTTTGAGCCCACCCAGAGATGGCTATGGGCCAGATTCCTGCATAGCAGGGGGTTGGACTAGATGACCCTTGGGGTCCCTTCTGACTCTATAGTTCTGTGATTCTGTTATTCTAGGAATGTAACTTTATTGAACCAGTTATTTAAGGGTATGTTATGAAGCCTACTTCCACCCTCAACTGATTATTACTGTAATGGAATGACTACTAGAAGATATACCCCCAAAATCAAAATTAACCGGGGGTGGGATCTGACTGCTGTTTGGGCTTTTTGTTGTTTCTACTGGCCAGTAATTCATTTGGCTGCTTTTAATCATTTTGTTGTTTTTATAACTGAATTTTAAGACATCCCTTTGGTCCCTTGTGAGCAGAAAGTTCAGAGCACCAAAGTTATGGGGGTGGGGGGGCATAGCTTGCTGGTGGTGTTAATAACTAAACAAATGTTTGATTTGATAAACATGTAGTGGACAGGGCTAGAAGGGGTAGACATCCCCAACCAACGCATATTGGAGAAGATTAAATAGAAAGAAACAAAGGGATTCACTGTTTTCAGGCTTGTTCCATATAAAATCTGTGTGAGTCTGTTTTCTAAAGGGTATTCTGCCCAGCCAGCCATTTTTCTATGCTTTTCCATGGGGGCCACTCAGAGCAGCCAATAAGCCCATGTGTATTTACAATTTTTACTGTGAGATAGTTTAATATTTTTTAAAAAAATAAAAATAAATACTGGGCATGCAGGTATGTCATATGCAAAACTTCTCCCCCTATAAACCAATCCAGACCCTGCGATCGTCATCTGAGGCCCTTCTCTGTGTGCCTGCTCCATATAAGGTCCAGAGGGTGGCAGCACAAGAACAGACCTTTTTGGTGGTGGCTCCCCGCTTGTGGAATGCTCTTCCCTTTAAATGTTAGGCAAAACATTTTTTTAAAAAAGCCAGGCCTTTGGCTTTTAATTATCTGTTGCCTCCTTCCATGTGTGCCAGGTTTGCCATTGTAAAATACAAATGTGATTTAGATTTCACTATGCTGTGTTTTGTGGTAGTTTTACTGTATGTTATTTATTTGTTGTTGCAAGTTGCCCTGTCAAAACAGTGACTAATAAGTTTAATAAATGAACCATAAGTAAATATAGCATTCACAAAACTGTAAAGCTGAGTCTACAAGGTCAAAAATGGATTTAAGTAATACAGGATCTCAAATTATGGAGTCTCGCAGTCAAAAACCTTTTGTCCTCTACCACTGAGGCAATATCTGAAAGTAGAAGCTGGTGAGGGTTCCTCCAGATGTTTAAAGGTTGCTCTTTGGTGCCCTCTGGCCAAAAAGGGAGGTGCTGCAGCTTGCTGCTACCTGCCAGGCTAAGTCCTATTAGCTGGCTTAGCAGCTTGTCAGGTGACACAAGGGACCAATGGCGTTCCCTCTTACTCTATAAAAGCCATCATTTCTGCTCCTGTCTACTAACCAGCTTTGTCTCCCAGTTGCAAGACGTCTGCTTCCCATCCTGCATGCTCTTTAAAACAGCAGTTGCTCCGATTCTCGTTCCTGAGTTGAAATAAAATAGCTGTGTGGGCTATTTTTCTTCTTTGACAATTGTTATACGCTTATATGAAGCACCTTGGAGGGTGGGAATCAATAATGCCTACCCCAGGTTATCTGAAGCCATGAAAATGCTTCTTGATAAATTAGTGGTATATGAACAAAAGGCCACACCTCCAGTTACTGGGCACTTAAAAAGGCATTTGCTCTGCTTTCCTTAAAAACACAGTGATGGCATCAGCAAGCGTGGAGTGGGAAGAAATGCTGTATGTTGATGTAAAGTGTCATTTGATAGAGCTGTAATATTGAGAAGCATGTTTACGGGTAGAGGGAGAGGGAATTGTTTGGCAAGTAAAGTAATTTAAAACTGACTGACGGAACTATAACTCATGTGTGTTGCTTAAAACTCCTGCAGCTGGGGGGGGAATGTACCACTTCCCCCCACTCCTTTTTTTTCCCTTTAGTAATTGCTTCCATTTAGTTATTTTGGGGAAAAGATGGAGGGTGAGTGAGGAGATAGAAACACTTCTCTCTCTCTCTCTTTCACTTGGAGAAGCTTGTTTATTTATTTATCGCCTATATTTTAATATTTTTTTGGAAGCCAACCAGAGTGGCTGGGGAAGCCCAGCCAGATAGGCCGGGTATAAATAATAAATTATTATTATTATTATTATTATTATTATTATTATTAATCAGAAGAGCCCTGCTGGATCAGGCTAGTGACCAGCAAGTCTAGCATCCTGTTCTTTCAGGATTTGTAGAGAAGCCTACAAACAGGACCTGAGAACAAGAGGAAACTCCCCTTCTGAGCTTCCAGAAAATAGTGTGGAGGCAGAGCATAGCTATCTTGGCTAGTAGCCCATTGATATAGCCTTATCTTCCAAGAATTTGTCCAGTCCTCTTATAAAACCATCCAAATTGGTGGCCATCACTGGAAAAGTAATTTGAAATGTGTTCATCCGCCTCTGTCTGTCTGTCTCTTCTTTAAATATTCACACTCCACTTGTGATATTGTTGCCCAATTTGTCATGGTTGTTCCTAACATAGAGGAGCCGGTTTTGGTCTATGTGTGGAAACTGTCAGATGCCATTTTGAATTAAGAACTTCTTTTCAAAACATCAGTACTTTTAACCAAATTTGGCAGGGAACTAATAGGGCTGTGCACTGGATTCAAATTTTGCACCAAATCAGGCTATCTGGGGTCACTTGGAGCTATCTGGTACTCTTAGTATCTAGGGCATTGGGCTGGATGGCAGGCCATGCAAGGGGGCTTCTAAACAGCCTCACATTGTGCTTTGAGTGCATATTGTAGAGGGTGGGGGAAGGGATGGAAGAAATAATTTGATTCAGTGTAAATTCATATCTGAGGCAATATGTGAAATGGGAGATTTCTGGCTCACAGCTTGTGCTCATTCTACACCAACTTTCTCCTTACCAACTTGCGCCTCTCTGCTTCTTTGACATGAGACACTTCTATGCAGATTCTTAATTCCTGCCTTTCAGAATGTTACAATCTTAATGTTCCTGAACTGATTTCCTATTAATCTCAATTCGTGAGCCCTCACAGCTTGTTATGGAAGGCAGAACCTCACATGCCTACTATGTGGAATGGGAGTGAGGGGCCAAATCACACACACACACACACACACCCCAGTGATTTATTTGTTACTGCTCCTTGCCACGTTCCTTTTAAGACATGTGTCATAATAAATGATTAAGGCCTGTACTCCATATCCAGGCACTAAGAGCACATAAGAGCTATTCAATCAAGCATAATGAAAAATTTAAGTACCTAGTAATTATTAGGACTGTCAACCAGTTTAAGATTCTCCCCCCCTGGACTTCCGGGGTGGCGCCATCGGCAATGGCGGACTCCCTCTGAACTGGAGGGACTAGCTCCACGGGAAACGGGTCTTTTCCACTACGGCGAAGCGGGGACCCTTCTAAAAATCACAGGCGGATGAAGCCTGTGACCATGGGACTCGGCGGGCACCTTTAGCGCCCCCCCCCAACTCGCTAAGGAACCCACTAACGGGCTCCGAAGTGAAGAGGGGGAAGTGGCGCGGTGCTGTGAGTCAACTGCTATTTCTGTGGAGCGAAGCCGCATAGCCGTTGCCGGAGAGCGCTGCCTTTTTCCTGGGACAATTTGGACTCTCAAATAAGCACCCGTGAGTACTTAGACTTTGAACAACTGGACATTAAATGGGGACTTGTGAGCAGAAAGGAATTGGATCTTAAAAATCTATTTCAATTTGGTACGGAACGGGAAGGTCTAAACAGGAAGTCAGCCTTCCGTTCTTTTGTAGACAGAATAAAGCAAAGACAATGTAAACTAGAGCTCAGAAAATCACCTTCAAAGGATTGGATTTCATCATTTAAAATTGTGGAACCCCCCTTCGACAGCAGGAGAAGAAGGGGGATCTTTTTTTGGACTGTTTAAAGCGAGTTTAAAGTAAAGCAACTTTCCTCCGTCCTGATCCTGGAGCGGGGTGTCAGGACTGACGTTTGAAGTTCATTGACCAGAGACAAACGTTTTTGACAGATAGCTAAAAGAAGAGAAACATAGTGATTCCACTGTTCCCCTTTGCATCTTAAAGGAATAAATATTGACAAAGTATCTCAAAAAGGGAAACTTTGTTGCAAGAACAAATAGAAGTTTTCCCCCTAGAGGGAGACTGTGAAACTGTAACCAACTCCAGGGAGCCGGCAGCTGTTACAGATTACAATCGTGGGAATAGGCATTTGACCTTGCAGGACAATGTATTCAGAAGCTTTGTTGTGTGCTTTCTATAAAACAAATGCCCTACTGGAACAGTTACATGAGAAGGTGAATTTGATTGCGACTTCGACTAGAAATTTTGAACAGGCAGTGGGAAATTTTGAACAGGCAGTGGGAAACTATGTGGAGCCCACCCAGGAATTAAATCAGGAGTGTGTCCTGACAGAACAGGCCCAACAGGAATATGAGTTTTTGGATTTGACAAATGAACTTGGAAAAAGCCAGATTTGGAAAGTAAAAGTTTGGTTTGGCTTGGAAATGGGGGGCTGGATTGAGCCCCCTATGCTGGGATGTTTGGACTTTTCAAATCTGGCAATGGGCCGTGAGATGTTTGGGTTTGTGGGGGCTCTTAATTTTGGAGGGTCTTTGAAACATGCTTTTAAATACCACATAGAATTCAGTGCTGAATATGGAAAAGGGGCTGATCTGTCGAGAAGGGTTAAAAATATTGCCAAGCTGGAGTTACCACGAGCAGGAGACAAGGGAAAATACAGTTACAAATATGAAGAAGAGCTGCGGAAGGGACATGGAAGAGACTTGAGGGCCTTGGATATAAGGTTGCCAGGCTAATGGGCTAGAGCGATGGGATAATAAGGACTGACAAAACCCGGAACCAGGAGGAAGGGACGTTGGATGAAGATTGAATCTGTATTTCTTTTTTTTACCATTAGAATTGTTTTATAAAATTGATGAATGTTAGAAAAATGTTGGAA